TCTGAGAGGGTGTTTGTTTACGGTATGGTTCTTGTATTTTTTTATACGGTATGTATAATTGTTGAAAATAATAAAAAACATTGATAGAGAAAAGAGAAAAAGAGGAAGGGCTGTCAGGAGCCGGTCTCATTTCTGTGTCGGTCATGTGACGCAGACACATCGAGTCCCAGAGATCTGAAGCAATCTGCTCTAAGGCAAAGGTGAATAAAAGCTAACAGAGAAAAATGAGACAGAATTCTGCTCCTTCTCTGGCTTCGTTTTTCGTTCAGATTTATGCCAACGGGAGCAAAAAGGGGACACAAAGAAACAACACAAACACTCCGGGGTTGTTAGCTCTGTTCTCAGGCTGTTTGATGGTTTTGATCTGACTGCTCAGAGTTCAGACCGGGGATGTCCCCATCCAGGTTTTAGCAACTATACCAACCCGATCCCGGCCTATCAGAGCCTGTGTTAAAGTTTAAAGTTATTTATCTACTTACTTAGTTGTCAGACTCATGTTGAACAGGGATTTACTCTGATAACAACTTAATGGTTAGGACACAGACCTGTGGGTTACAGATGCTAATGCTAATGCTAATGGGTGATTTTTTTTTTTTAACCTCTTTAAAAAATCCATTAAAACCTTTTAAAGCCAAAGAAAAAATCAAACCCCATCCCAAATGTGAGCTGTGATAGCTATTTATGCACTATTGAACAAAGAGGGTCACATCTCTGGTGGAAAAACCTCCAAAACCGGCACAAATGGAGACTTTTTTGGGGTGCCTTCAAACTAGGGATGTCCCCATCCAGCTTTTAGCACCTCTGATCTCATCCCGGCCTATCAGAGCATGTACTAAAGTCTAAAGTTATTTATCTACTTACTTAGTTGTTGTTTAAAGGAAGTTTTTCCTTGCCTGTGTCGCCTAGTGCTTGCTCATGGTGGGAATTGTTGGGTTTCTGTAATTAACTTCAGAGTAAGGTCTGACCTAAAGCTGTGAGACAACTGTTGTTGTGATGTGGCGCTATATAAATCAAATTGAATTAAACTGAATTGAATTAGTTGTCAGACTCATGTTGAACAGGGATTTACTCTGATGACAGCTTAATGGTTAGGACACAGACCTGTGGTTACAGATGCTAATGCTAATGCTAATACTGTGAGATGTGAGACACCAGGAGTTTAACTGGTTCCAGGACCCATTTCCTAAGTTAGAATATTCCTGTGTTGGTTCAAATATCAGACGGTTGAGCATGTGTTAAAGTCTAAAGTTATTTATCTACTTACTTAGTTGTCAGACTCGTGTTGAACAGGGATTTACTCTGATAACAACTTAATGGTTAGGACACAGACCTGTGGGTTACAGATGCTAATGCTAATGCTAATTGGACAGGCCTAGTTCAGACTGGTGATGGCTAAACTTAAACTACTGGCCCAGGAACAGTTTAGATCTGCCTTTAGGGCAGCAAACGGCTGATAATCACTTAGAGATCACCGGTGGAATTTCCCACCGTGGCCGGGTCATGTGACCTGGCGTGCGCGGGCATACGTGCGCTCCTGCTTTCCTCCTCTTCTTCCACCTCCTCGTGGAATTCTGCTGCTTCTATTTATAACAGAAACCCTGAGAGCACGAGTCCAGACTCACAAACAGAGTCCGGCAGGACCTTTGATGACCTCTCAGCCCAGAGGCCACGAGGGCTGTTAAGATACTAAAATGTTCAACTGGATACCGATACTCAGGAAAATACTCGATACTCTATACAGTTTTCTATACTACAAGGATAAAAATAAAGACCCCAAAATGTAACTGAGTTTTGACAGGTTAGTGTCTTTGGTTTCAAACTGACCTGTTACTGATGTTATGGTGGCCAACATTAATGACCCTAACCCTAACCCTAACCCTGACCCTAAACCTAGCCCTAAACCTAACCTTAACCCTAGCCCTAAACCTAACCCTGACCCTAACCCTAAACCTAGCCCTAACCCTGACCCTAACCCTAAACCTAGCCCTAAACCTAACCATAACCCTAACCCTAACCCCTTACCCTAAACATAACCCTAAGCCTAACCCTGACCCTAATCCTAACCCTGACCCTGACCCTAACCCTAACCCTAACGCTGACCCTAACCCTGACCCTGACCCTGACCCTGACCCTAACCCTAACCCTAACCCTCCACCCTTCATAATTGTGAGAAATTATTTTTAACTATTTT